GATGACCAATCAGCGGCGGCGGGGGCGGGTCCCGCCCGCGCGGCCACCCCCGCCCCCCCTTCCTCTCACCTGCTTCTCCTCGCCGGTCTCCTCCGCAGGGTTCTCTTCTTCTTGTTTCTGGGACATGGCAGGACCGGGGCTGTGCAATGCAGGGCCCTGGAAGTCAGCCGGAAAAGGGAAGGGGGAGGGGAAACGGGGACAACCTGAGCTGCTGCTTCGGCTCCTGTCACTATGGTTGCTCAGTCAAAATGGCGGCCCGAGTCCGTGACGTTGAGACCGCCCCCTCCTATGGGAGCCAATGAGAGTGGGCTTGATGGGACAATGACGTAACGCCACACCAATAAGCGTTGGCTGGAGGTGGGCGGGGGAATCAGGGCAGACTGGCGAGCTAGAACGCCACTTGGGAGAGAGCAAGCCACAAGAGCCAATTAGAAGCCTGCAGGGAGCTTAGGGGCAGGACCGCTAGGTTTAGTATTTTTGCTTTAGTGAAGCAGAAGCTTCCTTCTGTTTCTTCGCCAGGTCAGGACATGGGCTCCGAACGTCATGAAAACCCTGGTGCAAAGGATTAGGCTTTGAGCGGTGTTATGAAGAAAGTTTTAGACATCCAGAAATAAAAATTGGAGTTTCCCAGGACTAGCTCGTACCAGACTGGCTTGTATGGCTTTCGTTCTACACTTTATTTTGTAGGCATTATAATTGCTGTCATTCTGTGGCCCGGTGGTGGCACATGCCTTTAATCCCAGCACTTGGGAGGCAGAGGCAGGTGAGTTCCAGGCTAGCCTGGTCTACAAAGCAAGTTCCAGGACAGCAAGGACTGTTACATAGAAAAATCCGGTCTTGAAATAATAAAATCAACCAAGCAAACAACAACAAAAAGTCATTCTGTGGAGATGTAAATCCTTGAAATTAGAGGAGTGCAGTCCTAGTTATATGGTAAACATTTGGCACGTTAAATATCTGTTGTAAGCATTATAGTGGCTCGGTTGGAAAGGTATTCTGGCATTACAGCACTCAGGAGCCAAAGAATACCACAGGTCACAATATGTGTTGCAGTTATAGCCCTGCTCCACGGAAAGGCTTCCCATGTGTAACAGCTCTGTTCAGGCCAGGGAGGGCTTCAGCAGCGAAGTTGTTTGGCTCCAGTCCCCCAGAGTGTAGTGGAACAGCTCCACTTTGCTAAGAGAAGGTTTCTCCCAGCAAAAGTTGTACAACCCTGTTCCGCTCCTGTCTCCTGCAAAAACTTATTACCAAGAGTCTAGGAGATTGGCTGCCTCTACATGAGTGAAGGAGGCCAGGCAGCCACAAGCTGAACAGGCATAGGGTTTATATAGGGATTCTTGGGGGTGGAGTTTTTCCAGGGAGGAGATGTCCAGGATGGGGATTGGGTAGATTTCAATCCCTGAGCTCAGATTGGCTAGATTTCTTGCTCAGGGATTGGTTGGTTTTCTGCACAGGTTTAGGGTCAGATTTGGCTCTGGTTTCAGGGCCAAAGTGTGTTTCTTTCACTGGTCCTTTTTAGCCTTTTGACTCTAATTTTAGGGCCGGATTGTATTTCTTTTACCAGCTCCAATTATAGGGCCAAAGTGTGTTTCTTTGGCAGTAGTTTCAGGGTCAGGGTGTGTTTCTTTGGCTCTGATTGCAGGGACAAAGTGCATTTCTTTAGCTCTGCTCAGGGTGTGTGTTTTTGTTTTGTTTTGTTTTGTTTTTTTTGGCTGGCCCTTCCCCCATACCTGTTAAAGTAAACAGAATCATAGCTCAACAATAGTTCTTAACCTGTGTGGTGGTTAAGGATGCTGAAGCAGGAGATCTCTTGAGTTTGAGGCTAACTCAGGCTACACAAATCGATCTTGTTTTAAAAACCAGAAGCAACCAAAGAAATAATAGTTCTTGAGTATCTGTCAGTAGATCTGTATTATTTTATAGGAATACATACATAAGGCAGCTTTTGCCCTTCAAAGCATTTTTTTCTCAAGATTAAGTCCTCGAAGAATATTAGTCAAAAAGTATTACATATTTATAGTTTGAATAATTGGTCTAACTGTAGGGTGAAAAGGGCCAAGGAAAAACACCCTGACCCTGACTTGGGAACAAGGATTGAAATCCCAATCCCTGAGCACAAAACCCCACCAATCCCTGAGCACAAAAACCCAGCAGTTCCAAACTACCCTAGAAAGCTCCATTGCTGCCCAAGGAACCCTATATAAATAAGCTCTGTGCCCAGTTTAGCTTGCTGCTGTATCATCCTGTAGGCAGCTACCCTCCTGGGTTATTACCTCCCAATAAATCTATTGAATGAGGCTTGTGTAATGACCTCCTTTTGTATGAGTAGAATGAAGCTCAGGAGTGGAGCGAAGCAGAAAAGTAACAACTTTCCCTGGAGTCCAAGTGGAGCAGAGCTGTATTAGCTTCACTGGGAAAGTGCTCCCCTGTCAGACCACAGTTGTTACATTGGGTAAACTGTTCCCTGGAGCAGGGCTGCTACTCTTAAGATGACTTTGTGGTATTCCTTGGCTCCTGACTAACAGGATACTTTTCACCAGAGTTCCAATGCTTACACTAACAGCTGAGCATTAGACCAAACCTGTGATTCGAGCACTTGCCAGGCATATACAGAGAGATCAATCAGTTCAAGGCCATCTTTGGCTACATAGTGAATTCAAAGGCAGACCCTGCCACAAAACAAAAAGAAAAAACAAGGAATAATGACTATAGGCACTGTCTTGATAATAAAAACCCACTGCTCTCTTCTTGCATGATATATTTTCAAAGACAAAGTCTATCCAATAACAACACTGCCAGCTTCACTTTTTCTCCTTTCTTCTCCTCTTGCCCCCAGACAGGGTGCCTTTAACTCACTATGTAGACTGACTAGACTGGTTTTGAACCTCTAGAGATCCACCTGCCTCTGCCTCCTGAATGCTGGGATTAAAGACCTGCCAAAACAGGATCTCACTTTGTAGCTCTGGCTGTCCTGGAACTCACAGTGATCTACCTGCCTCTGACTCCCGAGTGCTGGGATTAAAGGCTTGCCACAACAAATTGTTTTTTGGTAACTTCTTGTGACAGATAGGCTTGGGAGCCACCTGTTCATTTGTCAGAGCTTAGGTTTATTTCTGAGAAACCCTGCAACACACAGATTATCACTATACAAGGCAAAGTCTGGTAAGCATAATAGAAATATTTATAAAGCTCTGTAGGAATTTTAAAGACCCATATATAGTGTAAGGTTACCAAAAAAAAAAAAAAAAAAAAAAAAGTATTTCTGACAAGATCACTTAGAAATACCAGGACAAATCAATGGAATCCCCCCCCCCCCCCACCACAGGACTTCTCTGTAGCTTTGGAACCTGTCCTGGAACTTGATCTGTAGACCAGGCTGGCCTAGAACTCACAGAGATCCACCTGTCTCTGCCTCCCGAGTGCTGGGATTAAAAGTGTGTACCACCACCGGCGGGCTAGTGAAAGGCTTTCTTAATCGAATGAGGAGCAGAACTGATGATCTTCAGGTGATGAATACAAATGTTCTAGAGTTTATGCTGAAAGGCACTAGAGCAGGCAGTCTAGCCCAACCCTACTGCCATCATTAGGTGAGACCTAGAAATGTGGTGGTAAGAGCAAAACAGAGCTGCACATATACAGCCCAGTGGTGGAGCACTTGCCTAGCATGCATGAAGCCCCGATTTCAGTATTGCATGGGACTGGGTACAGAGAAGAATAGGAATTAAGGAAAACAAAATAAATAAAAAAATACAAAACGAAACCAAATCAACAGTATGTGAGAAGTTGGGCCTGGTAAGGAGGCTCAAACAGGAGAATTACACATCCAAGGCCATCCTGGGAAACTTAGACTCTATCGTCAAAAACATTTTAAAAAGAAAAATAATAATGGGGAGAGGCCTGGAGTTAAGAGTGCTGGTAGCTCTTAGAAGACACAGGTTTGGTTCTCCACACCTACAAGACATACAACCATCTGGAACTCCAGTTCCTGGGCATAGGAGGCCCTCTTCTGGTCTCCACTGGTACACCAATGTGGTACACATGTACACAAAACATTCATACACATATTTATTTTTGAGACAGGGTTTCTCTGGGTACCCCTTGATGTCCTGGAACTCACTTTGTAGAACAGGCTGGCCTTGTACTCACAGAAATCAGCCTGTTGGGATTAAAGGCTTATGCCACCACTGCCTAGCCAAAATAAAAGATTTTAAGATAATGCAGAGGGTCTAGGAATCAAGAGCCACATGTGTGAGTGATTTATTAGTTTAGCAGTAGATTGAATACAGGGATGAGAAAGCTATGTTTCTCCAGTTGACTATTTGTAGAAGCAGTAAGTTAAAAAAACAAGGAACCAGGACCAGAGAAATGGTTCAGCAGATAAAGGCACTTGCTGCCAAACCTGATGACAGGACTTCAATGCCAGGGACTCATAAGTTATTAGGGGAGAATTGGTGCCCATATGCTGCTGCTGCTTTTTTTTTTTTTTTCTTTTTCCTTTTTTTCTCAAGACAGGGTTTCTCTGGCTGTCCTGGAACTCATTTTGTAGATCAGGCTGGCCTCAAACTCTGAGATTCATCTGCCTCTGTCTCCCGAGTGCTGGATTAAAGGCGGGCGCCACCACTGCCTGGCCTACATGCTTCATTTTATATAGCAAAGTACAGCCAATCCAAATATATTCTTCCTATTCTAAGTGTAGACATTCTAAGTGAGGGAAGAACAATAAGCCAATCAGCAGTTACATTTTTATAAACTAACTGTTAGAGCTGGTTGGTATATTACCTATCATGTGAATTGTTATGTTCATCTCTATACTCCTGTCATTTGCAATGTTTTCACAGAAGTCACTCTCATTCTCTTCAATGGTAATATGGTATCACTGAGTAACTTATTTGGATTGAGATGGAGACCCTACTGGGATGTTAGCTGGAGCACAGGTAAGCACTGCTGTACCCTGTCAATACATGCCACAGTTAAAGAAGTTATAAACCAGGTACAGAGAGACCAGAGGCATAACTATTGATCTTTATTGTACAGAAATGTGACAGCAATTATACACTACATGAGTGTTTGGCAGTGAACATTACACAGATTTGAAGTGAAGACATCCTCATTTTATGGACATATAAAAATAAACACTGAGAGTTGCAAGAAAGAACTCAACTTCTATTCCCCCAATCGAACTGAAGCTTTCCACAGGAAAACCTGGTTTCAATTCATGCCGAATTGTTCCAATGGGAAGACAAGCTAAGCCACTAGATAGCACATGGGCTGGCTGTTGTACTTCTAGAGAGCCAGGCTAAGGCTCTACTTGCTTCTCAAATTACAACTTATATCTCAACTTATTTAAGAGACATATGAAATGAAAACAATAATGATGAATTGGAGAATGTCCATGGATCTAGGAAGGTTCAGGGGAGTAGATGAAGTTAGAGCAGTTTACTTCAGATGAGCAGGATTTGGCATGAGCTTAAGTCATCTCTATTGGCTGTGTGGCAGCCTGTTTCTCCCCAGCAGTCAATAGGGTGCTTGAAATCAGCACAAGCAGTGCTGGTCTCTTCAGAGCCCCTAAACGTAGGCTTTTATCAGCTGCCATTGACACTCAACTACCCATCTAACTAGGATCTCTTCTACCAAAGTCTCTCTTCACCCTCACTACTAAAGCAAAAACATTTATAAAAAGATTTGGCCAGAATGATGGTTGTGTTGAAAGAAGACACAATTTGGAGGGTATCTGTAGATTAAATATAGACAGAATTACTGTCAAAGCCCTTACATATGGGGAGAATTTATCAATTTATAGAGGAAATAAAAACAGAGATTATGAAGATATGGAGTTTGGCTACATTGTCTGGACTCAGTGCTGTTATTTGGAAAGTGAAATTTACAATTCCCTTAATTTAATCAGAGTAGAGACATTTGAAGTAGTCTGGAGCAAACAAGACAGTCACATGCTAAAGGGTGAAAACTCTAATTTTTGAGTGAGAGATGGTCTCATATAGCCCTGGCTACCCTTGAATTTACTAATCTAGCTGGGTTGACCTTCAGCTCCAGATCCTTCTGCCACTATCTCCCAAGTGCTAGGATGACCGGGTGTGTCCCCCAACACCTGGCTTCAAAGATGTGAATTCTGGTGTCTCCCTTACAAGTTCTAACGCTGGCTGCATGAAGGAGGTGACAGAGGCACATTGCTCTTTAAATCAGACTTGGTCTTAATGATTGTGAAAGCAGGACAGTGCTAAAATGGAGTGTGACTATATTTCTGCTTCTACAACTATGGGATTCATGTCATTAAACTTGGAGTGTTTTCATTAGATAAGAGTGAAAAAAAAAATCATAGGCAGGAGGTACAATCTCAGGGCTCCTCATTCAAAGAGACAGTGATGGCGGTAAACATCACTGTTTAGCAGAGTCAGAGAGAGTCAGGGAGAAAAATAAATGAATATGGTTTGCTCTACATTTTCACATTTTGTTCTATAAAACTCTAACCTTCTCATAGATATTCCTGTTGATCCAAGAGCACGCTAGTTAAAACTAAACCCAGAACAGGAGATACTTACTGAATGTGCAGGGGTTCACCCCTTTCATTTGGGTATGGAATGGAAGTACGAGGAGAAATAGTCTGCTTAAAACGGTCATGGCCCATGAAGAGGCCCTGAGGTTGTTCTTCCCAAGTTATGAGTCTGATTCAAAAAAAAAAAAAAAAAAAAAAAAAAAAGAGGAAAAAATGATGACAATATCTCATTAGACAAAACTCAGTGATGGGGTCTCTGACAGTCACCAGCCAGCAGGGGAAAGGAGAAACCCGCCTCCTGGCTTTAGGATTTGTTGAAGGCTGCCAGCACAGCCCAGATCATCTCTGTGGCATTGTGCTTTGTCCCTTCTACTTCAGGGTCCAGTTCTACTAGGTCCTTGGTTCGATTCATTGCCACATCATACTTGTCATCTGTCAGACAGGAGAAGACATTCTCTAGCACATCGGAGGAGTGGGCCAGCACCAAGAGTGCCAGTGTTCGCTTGTCCATGCGCTGAGGGTCGTTTACCCACCGTTCTAGCACACTGTCTTGAAGCTTTTTCACTAGCCGCTGTTTCTCTGTTGTATTGGTCACTGGGTGCGTGGTCATATCAAACAGAAGGAAATTCTGCTTCTCTGTGGTTAGAATACCCTTCTCTACTAGATTTTTGGCAATTCGCTCTCGCACATTTCTCAGCTGGTACTGTAATTTGAAGGGGTTCCATGTCTCACCTTTGGGAAACAGACACAGGAAAACAAATAGAAAAGGTCAGTTTGTTATTTGAAGCTTGTTTAAAAATGTAAAAGCACCGGTCTCCATCCATGGGGGAGCAATGTCAATTCTTTTTTAAACCAGTCTTTGTGCTTTATATGTTGGTTTTGACTCTAACTATATTTTACATTAAACAGCCCTCAAAAATTGTCCTCATACACACAAATGCACACAGGCACACACACATACATATATACATATGCACACATACATATATCTGTGTGCACACACATGTGTACTGACATGTGTACACATATCATCATGGGTTTTCATGCTAGTGTATAGTGAGATATCCACCCCATCCATACCTGTTGCACTGACCACACACTGATTTATTGTTTAGCATGTACAAAAGCATGTGCTATGGTACTTGTGTAGAGGTCAGAACTAGTTTCTCTCCTCCCACCTTGCAGTTTCTAGGGATCAAACTCAGGTTGTGAGGCTTGGCAGCAAGCATCTTTAGTTGATAAAACCATCTCAACATTTTGAGTTCAATGAACTCCACATAGGATACACATAGAGAGAAAGGAAAAATATGTAATCAACACCAGGTACTAAGAGGCAGTCTTGGAAGGCGGCCTGAGAAAATGACTTGTCACATCAGAGCTGCAGTGAGATTAACAGCTGACTTAGAGAAAGAAGAAATGGAGTCTACAAAAGTAAAATGATTAGTTCAAAGCACTGACTGACAAAATTGTCCAACAAGAGCCTTCTTTTCTTCTTTCTTTCTTTCTTTCTTTCTTTCTTTCTTTCTTTCTTTCTTTCTTTCTTTCTTTTTTTGATACAGTGTTTCTTTGTGTAGGCCTGGAACTCTATAGACCAGGCTGGCCTCGAACTCACAGAGACCTGCAGGCCTGCCTCTGCAACCTGAGTGCTGGGATCAAAGGCATGCATCACCACCACCCAGCCCTTTTCTTTTCTTTACACAGGGTCTCTATGTAGCTCTGAATGTCCTGAAACTCACAGAGATCTGCCTGCCTCCATCTCCCAAGTACTAGGATTAAAAGTATGTCACCACGCCAGAAATTACTTAATTTTTTTTTTTTAAGACAAGGTTTCAGAAGGTTGTCCACAAATGGGGCCATAGGCAAAGGCACTTGCCAACCACACCTGACTACCTCAGTTCAATCCCAAGGACCCAGATGGCAAAAGGAGAGAACCAACTCCTCGGAGTAGTCCCCTAACCTTCATATATGCACTGTGGTGGTGGTGGGGTTGGTGGAGGGGCATGTACATGCATAAAAAACATAGCAAGAAAAAAAATTTTTTTTTGAGACAGGGTTTCTCTGTGTAATAGCCCTTGGCTGCCCTGGAACTCACTTTGACCAAGCTGTCCTCAAATTCACAAAGATCTGTCTGCCTCTGCCTCCTGAGTGCTGAAAAAAATTTCTTAAATTGTTCACAACTATTTACAGTAGCTTTGGTCCCAATAGCCAAAAAGTAAAGTAACTCAAATATCCATTAGCCAAATAAATTCATGAAATATTAGCTGTAAAAATAGCTAATTCTGGGAGATTCAAGATAGAAAGATTTTATTTATGTCAATGTCCTGGTTGTCATCTCTATAAATATTATTATTTTGAGATAGGGTTTTACTATGAATACCAGGCTGATCTTGAACCTTTGTGTTTTAGTCTCTCAAATGGTATGATTATGAGCCTTTGCTATTACAGCTAGTTTAACTTTTTTTAAATTAAAAAAAATTATCATGTGTTTGTGTGTGTGTGTGTACTTGTGCACACACACACACATTCTCTCATGAGCATGTGCATTTTCAAAGGAGCCAGAGAAGGTATCAGATTCTTTGGAGCTAGAGTTACAGGGGTTGCAAGATGTTAGACATGGGTTCAGGAACTTAATTTACATCCTCTTTGAGAGTAGTACTCATTGTAACCATTTAACCCTCTCTCTAGACTATGAACTATTGAACCCTCTCTCTAGTTTTTTATGCACATGCTTTTTTAGGGAGGGAATTGGGGATTGAACCCGTGTGTGTGTGTGTGTGTGTGTGTGTGTGTGTGTGTGTGTGTGTGTGTGTGTGAGATAGTGTTTCCAAATGTAGCCCAGACTGGCCTTGAACTATCAGTAATTCTGCCTCAGCTTCACAGGTGCTAGGATTACAGGTGTATACCATCATTCCTGGCTAATAAAGTTTTCTTTCTTTTTGTTTTTTTTTTTTTAAGTTTAATAAGCTTAATACATGTTTCTTTTAAAAAAGGGGCTGGTGAGATAGTTTGGCAGGTGGAAACACTGATCATAAAGTCTAACAATCTGAGTCACTACTGGAACACACACACACACACACACACACACACACACACACACACACACACACACACAGAGTTTCTTGGGGAGGTCTGGGGATAAAGCTCAGTTGGCCCAGTGCTTCCCTATCATCCTTGAAGTCCTGGCTTTGATCTTTAGCACCACATGTCTAGGTTGAAGGTTTATGCCTATAATCCCTGCACTTAGGAGGCCAAGGCAATAGGATTAGAACTTCAATGTCATCCTTGGCTACAAAGCAAGTTTGAGGTCAATCTGGGATATGAGATGCTGTCTCAAAAAACAAAACAAAACAAAACAAAAACAAAAAACAAAAAAAGTTCCTTGCCTGGATAAAGTGGTGCACACCTTTAGTCCCAGCACTTGGGGGCCACAAGTTCTCAGCCACCCACTTCTACATGGTGAGACCCTGTCTCAAACAAACAAAAAAAACAATCAAATCAAGTCCTAGTGAATAATGATGTTAAGCTGGATGCTATATACCTGTAATTTCAGTAGTAGGGAGACCGAGGCACAAGGATTGAGAGTTCTAGGCCACCTCAGTTTACATAGTGAGACCTGTCAAAAAGCCCAACAAAGTAAAACTGTGAAGAGCTCTTATGGAGGATCAGGAATTCTGGGTCATTCTTAGCTGCATAGCAAGTTAGGCAAGCCTTGGCTAAATGAGATCCTGTCAGAAAACAAAAAAACTTTCAGAGTAGGAATGATAAGCTGACTTGCTTGGAAAGCTTTAGGTGCTGTTTAACTACTTACCATACCTAGCATGCTGCACTTCTCTACTTTCTCTCTAACCTTACGAGTAGGTAAGATAACTAAGGGTGGAATTTGGGTGTTATTTTCAGTCATCTCACCAGTGAGTAGCTCTATCCATGTCTGGACAGTTTCTGTTGGCTCAGTTGCTTTGATGTGTTTGAGAGTTTCATCCAGCAAAACATCACCTGTTGGGCTGTCTGACTTTAGCAGGACCTTAAAGAAAGAAACAGAGGACCCTGCTTTACTCAGATGAAAATCCTTCAGTGTACAATAGGCACACTGATGGTTAGGAATTCAAGGAAGCAGAATATATGGCCCATGTCATGGAAGAGTTTAATATGTAATATGACTTCACAGTAGGAAGATAAAATTACATTTGAAATGGGACCTAGTAGAAAATGCTACAAATAAAGCCAACAAAATATTTCATAGTATCTTTCTGAGTTTGGAAAACCACCTGGTGAAACCACAAATAAAGGCAGAAAAATCAGAATAGTTAATTTGGAGGAACTTGTCAAGCCTGGCTTTGACTGCTTTGGGATAGCCAAGTTTAAATGTCTAGTCAATAGTTAATATGTCCCTGGAAGCTAAAGCTAAAGAAATGTCTACAGATTTGGAAGTGTATTTCCTGGAGGTAATAGATACAGCTGGAAAAGTTAAGTGGCATTTCCAAAGGGCCAGAAAAATCACCTAACAGGATACAAACTGATACTTGGCTATAAGGAAATACAGAAGTAAAGGAAATATATATATATAATGAAAAAGGTCAAGAATGTCATTAGGGGAGTAGCGAAAAGTGGCAAATGCACTAGTCTTAGTGACACATGCCTTTGATCACAGCACTCAGGAGGCAGGGGCAGAAAGATCTGTGAGAATTCAGGGCCAGCCTGGACTACATAGTGAGATCCTGTCTCAAACAAAAATATGTGTATTTTAACAAAACAAAAATATGACATGTATTTTAAAAGAAAAAAATATGACTGGAAAAAAGATGGTTCTATCTAAGAATATAATTTCAGTAGAGTACTTGGGAGGCAGGTATTGTGAGTGGCAAAGAAATGACTAAGATGTGTAGAGTCAGTTCATCTGTTGCAGGGGATTTTCTGTTTTCTTTTTTGAGACAGGGTATCTCTGTGTAGTCCTGCCTGTCCTGGAACTCACTTTGTAGATCAGGATGGCCTCAAACTCAGAAATCCGCCTGCCTTTGCCCCTTGAGTACTGGAATTAAAGGCCTGAGCCACCACTACCTGGGGAAGGGGATTTTCAGTAAATGTAACAGATCTGAATGGTTATCAGAGAATATCTTGAAATGATTAAGACAGACCTGACTCATGATTTCCTTAGTCTACATTATATTTTATTTTATACATGGAGAGGGAAGGATAATAGCATCCTAAATGAGACTTTCTGTGTTGGAAAAATATAAAACTGTGCTTCTATGACTCTTTAAGGATATCTAATTTTTTTTTCCCCTATAACTAAACCAACTAGACAATGGGTCAGCTGAGCCAGTATATATTATTCAAATTTTCTTTCTCTTTTATGTATATGAGTTTTTTGCCTATATGATTGTACTCTGTGCACTGTAATTGGAGGTGGAGTTTTTCTTTTGTTTCAACCACATGGTTTCAAATAATCACACAATAGTTTATACTAATTAAAAATTGTTCAGCCTATAGCTCAGGTTTATTACTAACTATCTCTTACAACTTAAATTAACCCATTTCTATTCATCTACATTTTACAGCATGGCTCACATCTTTACTTGTCCTCTAGCACATCGTGTTCCTTGGAGGCTGGCTCCAATCTCCCAGCTCTACCCTTCTTTGTATTTTCAGTTTGGCTTTTCTGCCTAGCCTTATTCTGCCTTGTTATAGGCCAAATCAGCTTTATTATTAACCAATGAGAGTAATGCACATTCATGGCCCACAGAAGGATTATTCCACAGCAGTACACCACAGGTGATCAAAGCATGTGGCATCTAGAAGAAACTTGGATTCCTGGAATTAGAGTTAGAGACAGTTGTTGGACACCATGTGGGTGTTGGGAAATAAATCCAGGCCTTCTGCAAGAACAAGTGCTTTTAACTGTTGAATATTCTTATTCTTCCAAAATATACTGTTGGCTTTTGACTCTCCATCATTCAGAGAATATTGTACCTTTCTGTCTAGGAGTCGCTTCTTACGCATGGTGGGAGGTTCCAGATAGATTCGACCCCGCATGGCCAGCTCTATCAGGATGCCTCCTCGAAGCCCAGAGGATATACAATCATTCCAGAAAGATGTATAGCCCTAAAAGAAGGAAAAGAAGACAAAGGATATTCTGAAAGTAATACTGACTTCTAGACAGTACTTTAAGAATAAGGTGTGATATTTTTGTGATTACTTTCACATCACAGTGCATGAACTCAAAGCAAGGTGCAGAGTTAAGATGAGGGCATGTTTAGGACTGTACACAGGACCTTTTACATACTAAGAAGTGCTCTACACTGAGTCCCATCCCTTGACCACTAAAATGTTTCATTACTCACTGAAATTCTGATTTTTATTTTACACACACACACACACACACACACACACACACACACAATTTATTTTGCATTAGTGCCATGGTGAGCCTACAGAGGTCAGAGGACAATTTGGGAGTCAGTTCTTTCCTTCCACCATGTGGGTTCTAGAGACTGTACTCAGGTCATTAGGTTGGGCAGCAAGTGACTTTCCCTGTTGAACCATTTAACCAGCTTTAATTGCCTTAATCTAAGTACCCAAACTTTTGAGGTTTTTTTGTTTTTATTTTTGCTTGTTTTTTGAGACAGGGTATCTCTGTATAGCTTTGGATTGTGTCCTAGAACTCACTCTGTAGATCAGGCTGGCCTCAAACTCACAGAGATCCGCCTGCCTATGCCTCCTGAGTGCTGGAATTAAAGGTGTGTGCCACCATTGCCTCGTTACTTTGATAATACTTGACAATTGGCATGTCAGATTTTGATTTCAATTGAGAAGAGATCTGGTTTGAAACAAACACTTTTCTTACATTTATTTATCTATTTATGGAGTAAGGTAGGGACATGCAGAGCTCTGAGGACAACTTTCAGGACATGGGTCCTGAGGATCATGTGGCCTGGTACTAAGTTGCCTGTCTACACTCAGCCATCTCCATGGCAGGAGCTTTCATTTGGAAAGGTTTGCAAAATGTTCTGAATTGCAGAGCAGTGCAGCAAAGGTAGAAATGAAAGCATAAGCTATGTCTATTGTTTTGTTGTTGTTGTTCTTCCTAGATATCTAAGTATAACAAGTCATTAAACCATTTATGTTAATCTATGTTTTATCATGTGGCATTACCTCTCTTCAATCTCGCACCTCCTGTTTCCTCTCCATGTCTCCTGGCATCCTGTGCACCTAGATTCTCCTCCTTCTTTCTCTCCCTGGAAATCTTGCCTGTATCTCCTGCCTAGCTGTTAGCTTTTTGTTATACCAATCACAACAAATACATTTTCACACAGTATACAAATATCTCACAATGTCTAGGTATATATTTTTTTTTGAAAACTCTCTTTGTGTGTGTACTGTGACTGAACTTGGGGCTATGTACAAGCTAAGTTACATCTCCACCTAAACAAATTATTCTGATGCACTGGACAAGGCCACTGATTAGTTAAGGGCCCTGGGTATGTTACTTAACCTTCCTAAGTCCAATGTCTAATATTTATTTTTATAATTTGTTGTGATGTCTCAATATAATGCTCTATATGAGGTAGGGCTGAGCATAGGGCAAGGACTACAAAAATACACGTTAGTTCATCTTTTCTAGGAGATGCAGGGTTACACAAAGATGTAAGACAGCTACTACCTAAAGGAGCCATGAATCTACTTGGAAACTTAAAATAAAAGCTGAACTGAAAAAGTAGAACAGATAGACTTAAATGGCTGATAAGTTTAGTTTGTAAGACAGTCCTCTAAATTATAAGCCTGAGCTGATGGACTGAAGGATAGGTTTAATTTGCACAGAGGATTTTCCAGGAGAATAAAATCATCCAACTTCTATTCTTAGCTATAAATATCAGATATCACAGATAAAGCTCAAGGGCTTTGTTTTTGTTTTTGCTGCTGTTTATTAAGATTGCTTTTATGTACTGGCTTTGAACTCATAATCTTGTTTCCATCTCCTGGGATTATTTAACTTAAAGTTTTAAAGAAAAATCCTGATATTCAATCTGGGTGGGGTCAGGCTTTGAATTTCCAAACAAAAGGCAAGTAATCATAAAACATTTAATCATCGGAGAACCTAACTGTTGTGAACTGCTCAGTGCTCTGGCAAGAGGCTCACAGCAGGTTGGAGTATATGCTGCCAAGCCAGATGATTGAAATTCCAGCCCACAACCCATGGTGGTAGAAGGAGAAACAACTCCTAAAGGTTGTCTTCTGATTGCTGTACCTCTTACACCAAAATAAATGTAAAAAATCTTGACTATATTTGTGTGTGTGTACATATTCATACATGCACATACAATAATGCCTAGGAAGAGGACAACTCTCACAATCACCTGTCCTCCCTGTGGGGACTTGGGATCAAACTAAGACCATCAGGCTTGGTTGCAAGTGCTTTTATCTATTAAGCTTTCTTGCTGGTCCTCATTTTAAAATGTTTAAAGCTAGGCATAATAACCTATGACTGTAATCCCAGAATTTAGGAATTGAAAGCAGGAAGATCAGGTTTTCAAGGTTGTCTCTTATCTATATAGCAAGTTTGAGGCTAGCACGGGCTACCCAACAACCTGTCCCTATGTCTCAATATGTTTCAGTTGCTCTACTTAGCTTTCAGGACTGAGTCTAAGTGGTTTATCATAACATTCAAACCAAGGAGCTTCTTGCTAGTCTCTTCTCTAGCCTCTATTTACTTAAAAAAAGAAAAATTTATGTATATTGGGCGGTGGTGGTCCCCACCTTTAATCCCAGCACTAGGGAGGCAGCAGCAGAGCGAGATTCAGGACAGCTAAGGGCTGTTACACAGAGAAACCCTATCTCAAAAAGCAAACGAAAAAAGGATCATTTATGTGAAAAGCCAGGCAGTGGTGGTCATTCCTTTAATCCCAGCACTTAGGAGGCAGAGGCAGGTGGATCTCTGAGTTCAAGGACAGCCTGGTCTACTTAGTGAGTTGCAGGACAGCCAGGGCTACATAGAGAAACCCGGTTTCACCCCCCCCCCACACACACACACCAAAAACAAACACACACACACACACACACAAAAAAAAAAAAACCAAACTAAAACACAAAACAAAACAACCAAAAATGAGATCAGGAAGATGGTTCAGCAGTTAATAGCACTGGCAGCTCTCCCAGAGGACCCAGGTTTGAATTCTAGCACCCACATAGCAAACAAAATCCCCCCCTCCAAACCCAAAGATTTTATTTATACCTCTTAGTGTTTTGCTTATTTGCATGCATGGATACTATGTGCATGCCTGGTGCCTACTGAAGTTAGAAGAGGGTGTCAGACCTCCTGGAACTGGAGTTATGGATGACTGGGAGGTAGGGACTGAGTCCTCTGAAAGAGCAACAAATGCTCTTAAAGACTGAACCATACTTACTTATATTTAAAATAGGGTTAATGCAGCTTAGGTTGGCCTCAAACTATGTAGCTTAACACACCTTTAATTTCATCTACACAGAGAAATCCTGTCTTAAAACAAAAAAGTTTCTTCCTGCTTCCAGGTCCAGAGGCATGTGCCACCATACTGGCTTTATGCAGTTTATGCAGTCCTGAGGGTCCAGTCAGGGCTTCATTCTTACCAACAGAGCTATAGAAAGAGACCAGCTGCTCTCAGGTCTCTTTCTTCTGGATCATTATATTTTAGCTATCACCAATTATTTTAAGTGTTTTTATTTTTGGTTGTAAGCCTAGCCTTTAACAGCTGAGCTATCCCTCCAACCCTTAAGTGTTTTTTATATGTGTGTATGTTAGTGGTTTGCCTACATGTATGTCTGGGTACCATGGGCATGCCTGCTGCCCACAGAGGCCAGGAAAGGGTGGTGGATTGTAAGGAGTAAGGTTTTTTCCTCCCGCCGCTGGTCTTGTCCCACCACCACACCAGGCCCAATTAATACACCGAGACTCTGTATTTGATATAAAGCTGTTGGCCAGGTACTAGTTTCTTATCGGCTAGCTCTGTCTTAAGTATTAACCCATTTCTGCTAATCTATGTATTTCCACGTGGTCTCCTCTTACCCTCGGAGAGCCAGCTGGCGTCCAGCTCTCTCCTGACTCTCCATCTTGACTCCTCCTTACCTCTTCCTCTTTCCTCCTTGTCTCCTAGTCCCTCCTATCTTCCTTTCCTATTGGCCAACAGTACTTTATTCATTAACCAGTATGAGAAACATATTTACAGACTGACATCTTCCATCAGTGGATCTCCTGGAACTAGATGGTTGTGAGCCACCATATGGTTGCTTAGAATTGAACCCAGGACCTCTGGAAGAGCAGGCAGTGCTCTTAATTGCTGAGCCATCTCTCTAACCCCATGTTTTTGTTATACATTTTTAAAACGATTTTATTTATATTTATCAATTGACTCCCCCCCCCCAAAGGTTGAGCTATATAGACAAGACTAGCCTTGAACTCACTAGGTAGCTCAGATTAGCCTTGAAGCAATTCTCCTGCCTCACAAGTACTGGGATTACAGGCATTCAGCATAATAGCTGATATATGTAGTGCTGGGAATCAAACCCAGAGCTTCATGTATGCAAGCACTCTAGCACTTAAGCTACCTACCCAAGCCCACCCCACTTTTTACTGAGTGCTTAGGATTCCTTTCTTCCTTTCTTCCTTCCTTCCTTCCTCCCTCCTTTCCTTCCTTCCTTCCTTCCTTCCTTCCTTCCTTCCTTAAGACAGGGTCTCAGGTAGCCTATGTTGCCCTGGATTCATTATGTAGCTGAGAATAACCTTGAACTTATCATCTTCCTGTCTCTATCCAAGAGTACTGAGATTACAAGCATACATCACCATGCTTGGTGTCTGTGTGGCTGGGGATTGGAAACTGAACTATATCATATCCCAGCCCCTACCCCTTCTTGTTAAGTGGTCTAAATGCCTTTGTACACATGGAGCCAATACTGTTCCTTCTCCAATTTCTCTTTGCACTTCAAGATTGAGTGCAGAGATCACATCTTCTGTGTAACATTTTCTAACACTATTTCTCTCTCTACTCCATTATCTGTGTTATGAGTATGCCTATACACACACACACACACACACATATAAAATTTTTCTTTTTTTACATATCGATCCCAGT